GCGAAATCCCAACTCAGGACCTATCACTCTCGCACGCGAGCACTTAACCACTAGATCACTGAGCCGGCCGGAATCCAACGGTGTTAATGTCTAACTTCAATTAATCCACGAAATTGAGCGACGCATCCATCATTGTAATCAGTGAGTTACTATCTCACAGCTGACCCGGTTGAACTCCACTAGAGTTGGATGCCGGCTTAATGGTCTAATGGTTAAACGCTCACGCATGAGACTGATAGGTCCTGAGTTAGGATCACAAGAGACGGGGTTGTGGATGTGTATTTTTTTAGGAGTCCCACAGTAGGACGAAACGTCCGTCGAGTGCTTCCAGGTTTTCAATGATAGTCTAACTTCAATCAACTTATGATCACAAATATTAAAATAAGAAATATAACTTATGCTGATTGTCTGATTCTTTAGTAAATCAAAAGTTTTAGTAGGGTTGCATTAAAGGTTTCGTTTAAACATTTAGAGAAAAGATATACATAGTAAAGAAATGATTTATTTTAATTGATTTTTCATGTGTATTAGTTTAGAGCCATGATGAGAAACATTGTAGACTGTAACTAACTAAATAAATAAAAGTTATGTAATCTTCATGTGATTAATGTAGATTGAAATTCAATTCCATACTTAAATCTGATGTAATAGAGATTTAATATAATTTTCAGCATTTTATGTTCCGAATGAGTAAGTGAAATAATAATTCAAGTCATCAAATTATAAACCACATACTACTGATAATAAGTGAGCATTCATATTTACTTATATTAGTAATCTTTCATTTTGAGTAAGTAAACTGATACTAATCAACATATGCACACTAGTGACTGAATTCAAGAGGTATATCCTGGAGTTCTAGTGAGAAGCCATGACCAGTGAAGTTCAATCGGATCTGTTGCGGGATATCAACTCACTGATGACAATGGTGTACGGTGGCACAATTTCGTGAATTAGTTGAAGTTAGACATTAACACCGTTGGATGCCGGCCGGCTCAGTGATCTAGTGGTTAAGTGCTCTCATGGGAGACTGATAGGTCCTGATTTGGAATCTCGTGGGGGGCGGGATCGTGAATGCTCACTGCCAGGGAGGAGTGCCACAATAGGACGAGACGGCCATCCAGTGCCTCCAGGTTTTCCATGGTGATCTAGCTTCAACTGACTCATGATCACAATTATTAAAATTACTATAATATCCACAGAACCCATCTGATATTCGACTTTTAATTATTTCAACAAACTCGGTTTTAAACTATAAATATGTCACAGATCCAATAGAAATAATCGAAATAATAGAAAGAATATGAAATTCATTTAAGTAGTGAAAATAAAATAAAATAAATCATCAGTTTACCTTCAGTAGTTGAGATCATGAGTCAGTTGAAGCTACATCACCATGGAAAACCTGGAGGCACTGGATGGCCGCCTCGTCCTAGTATGGGACTCCTCCCTGGCAGTGCGCATTCACGATCCCGCCCCTGCGAGATTCGAACCCAGGACCTACTGGGTTTGCGCGCGAGCACTTAACCACTATACCACTAAGCCGGTCCGCATCCAACGGTGTTAATGTCTAACTTCAACTAATCCACGAAATTGAGCGACACATTCACCAATTGTCTTCAGTGAGTTACTATCTCACAACATTCCTGGTTGAACTCCACTGGTCACTACTTCTCACTAGTGTATTCGAATTGGGATTACCAATTGTAGCGTGGCGTCGAGTTGAGATTAACTATGAACACCGCTACCAAGAAACACGTGCCAATTAGATCAGAAGGCGTAAGAAGCTCGTTCCAAATGACTCCATAAAATCCCCGAGAAGCCAAATATCAGAAGACAGTTAATGGACCAAGTCGAGGTTTATTAGCTGGCGATCTCGTGGCATCGAAAGGATACCGAGATCGTGCCAGGATACAACCTTGGTTACAGATATGTTGTTTAAAATACAACAACTATTGGAATTACCATAATGTCCACAAAAACCCCTTCTGATACTAATCAACATATGCTCGCTAGTGACCGACTTCAAGAGGTATATCCTGGAGTTCTAGTGAGAAGCAGTGACCACTGGAGTTCAACCAGGAATGTTGTGAGATAGTAACTCACTGAAGACAATTGGTGAATGTGTCGCTCAATTTCGTGGATTAGTTGAAGTTAGACATTAACACCGTTGGATGCGGACCGGCTTAGTGGTATAGTGGTTAAGTGCTCGCGCGCAAACCCAGTAGGTCCTGGGTTCGAATCTCGCAGGGGGCGAGGTCGTGGGTGCGCACTGCTGAGGAGTCCCACAATAGGACGAAACGGCCGTCCAGTGTTTCCAGGTTTTCCATGGTGATGTAGCTTCAACTGACTCATGATCTTAACCATTGAAATTACTACAATCTCCACAAAAAACCCATCTAATACTATTATGCCGGTGATTGAAATTCACAACCTATTTCTAAGGAATTTTAAGGTACAATAATAAATATTCAGGAATAAGTGATTATGGCTCATTCACTGTTATTTCACATAAGATCGAATGAATGGAATACAAAATATTTTGCCAGTTCAATACACAAATTGCATAATGTAGGAATATGTTATTTAAAAGAGGGAAATCTTAGTATTTGTTAGTTGTATGTCAACGATTTCCAAAATATTTATCTTCAAAACTTACGTCAATATATATATATTGACTGGTCTAAACCTTAGTCGAATATTTTGGATTCTACTTCAATCGATAATTAGTGAGTTTCTGAATATGTATATGTTGTAAAGTGTTATCACTATAAGTGTTCAGTAACCAAGTGTTTAGGATGCATAATTTACTCATTAACCTTGACGACTATATAAGTACGATGAATTTCGATGTAATTCACCATATTTTATTCTCAATCGATCATTCTCTGAAAAATCTTCGATAGTATTGTAGTGTCGGTTTATTGTGTTAAGCCCATATACCTTATTTTAGCTTTCAGACAGCCCATTCTATTCATTCTACTTGAGTCACATTCTGACCTTGTTATTTATTCGCTTATAAATCTTGACTGTTTTTATAGGAGCGCATATGTATTTTTACATTTCTTATCCCATTCATCACTTTTGTGTAACTATAATTATTGAATAACGCTTGGTTAAATGGAGTTGACTTACCAGCCATCTCCACTCTGAGTCGTTTCTCTTCTCTCTATTCCATTCGCTTTATATACAAAATTATACGTATTCAAAAGTCTATTCTCGTTATTTGAGTTATTTAATTTCGTTATTGACTAACGTAATTTAAGTCGATGGTTATGTACGAGAATAGGCGATATATATATATTTCAGTGACAATCATTCATACGATCGAATTAAAGAAAAATAGATCCCGGGCCACTAAAGTGGAGAGCCCTTTCAACAACATCGTCCGATCTAAACGACGACAAAATAACGAGCCCCACTAAAGTATATACAGTAATGTCAAAGTTTTTCGATTTAAATTCTATGGTTGATTATATTTCCTTTATTCTTCAGTCTGCTACCACCAATCGATTTATGTATAGTATGATGCCGAAGAAATATTTAAAATAGAAAGTTTCTATATAAATATCACAGTCAAATCTACAGTGGAGTTGTAATAAACTGTGAGGGAATTCTGTAAATTAAAGCACCCTTTAAAGTTATTACAATGGGTAAACATCTTGAAACAGTTTTAATATGCTTAATCATAAACAAACGTTTCGAAAATATTGATATAATGGGTATTACAGAATAATAATGTTTTATAAAGGGGTCAGTTGTCCTCATAATTTTCTGATAGTCCAAATATGTGGAATATTGCTTCGGGACTACTTTCTGTCATAGCCTAAGCTGATTGGAGTAAGTTATGTAGTTAAGTGTGCTTACCAGTTCACCCTACTTGTCAGTCCCATCAACTCTGATGAACAGGTGTCTGACAAAATCTCTACACCGATTCAGAAAGCCATGTTGGTTTATACCGAATCCTGTCCATTTTTGCCTTAGAAAGGTGTCCGTTTACTAACAAAGGATTCACATGACATTAAGTAATCCAATATCTATTACTATGAAATGTGTAACACATTGGTTATGAGGGTGAAATATATATGCGTAGACTGCAGTTTCGTGAGCATTTCTGACTCATCGTGGAACCACTTAGTAAACAATATTGAGTTCATTTATTTGTCTTTTTAAAAATATAGTAATTTGGTTTATGAGACTGGATCTTCACGAATAAGATGTTTCGGACTTGTGTCACTTTAGTGTAATCACCATCCAATCCGATGAGTGATATTGACTGATATAGAAGTACCCTATAGTTAAACTGACAGCGACTAAGCTTGAATATAGTGGTCACTTATGTAGACACTAAATAACATAGTTCAGAATCGATCACGGTTAAACAGACACATTCAAATTTTATTGTTCTCTAGATCTTGTGATCCCAGAGACTTGTTTATGTACCTTTAGACTCCACATTTCTTGTTATCGTTCCTTATCGTCGTGGTTATATGGTATAGCTTAGGAACAACCTACTGTGGAAGAGAACAAACCATATCCCAGTGGAGGAAGAAATCAGAAAGAAGCGATGGTATTGGATAGGACATACATTGAGGAAAGCACCCAACTGCGTCACAAGACAAGCCTTCATGTAGAATCCTCAAGGCCAAAGGAAAACTGGAAGACCAAGGAAAACATTACGCCGGGAAATGGAGATAGACATGAAAAGAATGAACAATAATTGGATGGAACTAGAAAGGAAGGCCCAGGACAGAGTGAGATGGATAATGTTGGTCGGTGGCCTATGCTCCATTAGGAGTAACAGGCGTAAGTAAGTAAGTAATATGGTATAGCAGCTTGTTTTAATGTTGGTTTTATCCAAGATTCCAGTATGAGTTTGTGCTATGAATCTTCGATGATTATTTGAAAAATACTTTTTTTCAGAACAGAACGAATTTTCCAAATAAAATTGATTTTTATTTAAACTTGATTAATAAAGCAAATTAATTAAGTGTCAATACAGGATCTTCAACAAGATCTTCGAACAAATTCAACTGAACTAGTGTGATTAATATTTGTGATGAACATTTTCAAGCAGAATTTCACCAGTTTTCATATAACTGAAAGTGAAATAGAAATTTCTTATTATTTAATTGATTTTATTATTATTATTATTATTATTATTATTATTATTATTATTATTATTATTGGCTTTATTCAATATTATAGTCTTGGTATAATATAGGATTCTCCGCATAATGTATTTCAACAAGTTTCCTTTCCTTATTTCTTGATCAATCCTGATGATCAACATTGAGTGGTCGTTAGTTAGATGTTAGCAGTTCATCAATCGACATATGAATAATGTACATTATTTTCGATGCATATTGTCAACAACCATGATGTCTCTGATTGGGATCTTTTGTAAATTATACAGTGAAATGTTGTAAACATTTCTCAAATACATCTGAATAGGTTATGCGATTAATAGGTATAATGATGTGTTAAAACAAACAACGAAAAACATGTGCTCACTAGTGAACAGGTTCGTGAGGGAATTCTCGGAGTTCTGGTGAGAAGTTGTGACCAGTGGAGCTAATCCATGTCGGGTAGAGACAAGTATCTACCTCAGTACAATGGAAGATGGTTGCGCAATTTCGTGGATTGGTTGATGTTAGACACTAACACCATTGGATGCCAGCTCAATGGTCCAGTAGGTTAAGCATTCGCGCGCGAGACTGAAGACTCTGGGTTCGAATCTCGTGAACGGGATCGTGGATGCGCACTGTCAGAGAGGAGTCCCACAATATGACGAAACGATCATCCAGTGCTGCCAGGTTTCCAATGGTGCTTTAACATCATTCGGTTCATGATTTCAATCAAAGACAAATAATTCGTTGAAATATCCAGATTGCACAAACAGGTAGCGCAGGTATTCAAATAGGTCACCTTGATTACAATACATACCTACTGTTGTTGAATAGAATGTTATTCTATCCATTTCAAGAGTTTACATCAACTGAAAGATTTAATGTCCTTTAACCTTATCCAACAACCGATTTGAAATATATTCATCGACAAAAGTTATCAATCTGATGGTGACTTTATTTAAGTCGAAATGATCAATTGTTTTAACAACCATTGTATATGTTTCATATAATGTATTCACATAACAAGTCTTAATGGAACAAGTTGTCTCGAATGACATTATATTACAATGACCAACATAAGATGAACACATAAATGGCCGAATTTCTGCTAGTTTCTAAACAAAAAGGATATAAATTTGAATTACCTTTTTTAAGAAATCAACTGTTTGCTCAATATTTCTCGAAGCGAAGTCGTAGTTAACTGAAATAGCAAAGAAAGCACAAATCATTATTTTGTATAATAAAATACATATTAATGGTTGATCTATCGTTCTGTAAACAATGAGATTAACTCCAAGCAATTGACTGTGTACTTATTCCTAATAAGTCACAGAAATAGTTCACTGACTTTCTTCACAATTATTGAGGACGTTAGGTCCCTCGAACTCACTTGAAAAAAGATCCTAATTTTTGTCATTTTATTCTGAAAATTCGGATTTCATATTTTCACACCAGGAGACGTTTAGTTGACTTACAGCTTACATTTCCCACCTCGAAATCATTCACTGTCATTGATTGACGGTTTTCTTTCCTACGCTATTTTGTGGCTCTCCTAAGGTTGTTTCTATCATTCTATAAATAAGCTTGATTTGTGTGCTTGGTGACCTCGTATTTTCTGAGTGTTTGTAAAATACATTCTCTACACCTGATCAAGACTTCTTGATCTAGTTAGGAGGGCTGGGAACAACGGATTAGAATAGCCTATTGTGTCACTGTATCTTTGACCTACGTTCCATTTATCGAGTAAGCTGAACTCGTAATAACATTCAAGCATATTAACGATAATAAGAATATTTGACAAACTGTTTGTATGTGTGTGAATCTAAGCATTCGGAACATTTCAGTTAGTCTTCTCAATAGTTTCTTCATAGAAGATAAGCAATATTGTGTGACTTGTACTTACATAATACTTTGTTCCATCTCCACAAAATATCGTATTTCTTAGAAATTAAACGATTCAGAACTTCAATATCTAGAAAGAGAAGGAGAAAGGCTTTCCATTAATTTTAAAAGTATACTGACACATTCATTTTAACTTTTCATACCTTTTCAGTTATGGTATGAAATGAAGTAACCAAATGAATAGTTGGCAAGACTCTAATTTATGGACGAGCCAATCAGAAGCGTTTGAGGTCACTGCGCCAATTTCAATACCTGACGCTCAGGTACGATCGTTTACAGCGGATTTTAGAGAAGAGGTGATTATTGAGCGGTTACAAGAGATGGGACTACTAAAATGTTCTTTTACCTGTGACTGCGGTAATCAAATGACTGCATTACTGTGTGTAGACTATCGTGATGACATTGTGTTTCGATGTTCTTTATGTTGGAGAAAGAAGTCTGCTCGAACGGGGTTATTTTTGCTCTATCGTGACTGAGACTGAGGCAAATCATGATAATAGTTGCAAATTGGATTATAAAAGCATCAGTAACACCGGCTGCAGCATTTGCAGATGTTACTAAAACGTTGGCCGTCCAATGTTATGATTATTGTCGTGATATATGTGCAATTAAAATGACACGTCTATACGAGTCATTCGGAAGAGTCGGGGGTATTGTGAAAATAGATGAAACGGTAGTGTGAAAGCGAAAATACAACAGGGGACGTAGTATCAAGGAAGATTGGGCAAGTAGCCCTTCCGCAAATATACTGGACAGGTACTTGGAATTTATCATCGGTCAACACAAAAGGAGCATTTTCAGAGGGTCAGAAACCGGCCAGCAAGCAGGAATACGTGCAGCCTGGCACTACGATATATACAGATGATTGGGGAGCATATAGATGCCTTCATAGACTTGGGTATGTCTATCATGTCCTAGTGCATAAACGCCATTTTGTCGACCCTACTACTGGGGTTCATACTAATAACATTGAAGCCATGTGGTCAAGATTGAAGGAGCTTTTAAGACCGTATCGCGGCTCCATAGGACGACTATTATGGAGCCATATGGACGGGTTTCTGTATCGTATACATTCTGATTTCAGAACATCTGAACCTTTATCAAACCTTAACAAGCTTTTAAATCATGTAAAAGAAGAATATACACTATAATTCATTAGTTTCTTATAATATATTTTTACTTTATACTAACTGTCTTCTGATTGACTAATAATTGTCAAGGTCACTTACGATTCTTGCAAAATTCGTCCATAAATTAGAGTCTCACCGGCATTTGTAAAGATTTACATAAACTGAGAACAAGATTTGCAGAATAACATGGATCTATGATATTTCAAGACTTCCGTTCAATGTAAACGATTAGATGTTACATCAGTGAAATTTTTATATACACTAATTGATGAAATATAGTTGTTTTATCATTTCAAACTTTGTATACTTTAGTATTACTAACGTCACTTTGGAACAATTACAATGAATGAGAAGCCTTGAAATACTGTGAATTTATTTCATTCTGCAAATCCTATTCTTCTCGACTTATTGAAATTGATCAAACACTCAGAATGTATGAAACATTTAGAAATTACGGCGTTTTCATCTGAGCAATTCAATGAATATATTAGTGTTACTCTTTCGTTGCTAGAATCACTTAATACATTTGTTCCTAAACAAAGGTAGTACACAGATAATCATTTCTCTAAGATCGCGAAAGACTAAAGTTAGACAATTAATGAAAACCTGAAAACACTGGATGACCATTTCGTCTAAACTAAGCGCATCCACGACTTAACTGGACCCACAGTCTCTCACACAAATGTTTAATCTATAAACGATAAAGCTCCAATCCAACAGCGAATATGTCCAACTTTAATCAATCCACGAAGGTCTTGCATTCGATTCCTGCTCTTGTGGATATTGACTCGAATTGTTGAAGTCTCACACTAGGACGAAACAGGTGTTTGGTGCTTCGAGTTTGAAATAGTCATCTAACTTTGATTGTTTCTTCATTTTAATGAAGTTCAACAATTTCCAGAACCCTCCACTGATGGATAAACACCTGATGAATGAATGTTCTTTAAAACTCCGAGAAAGGAGCTGTAAATTTCAGATGACATAAAACACAAATAGGTAATTTTAATTTATGTGAACATATCGTTGTTTAAATGCATCATAATGAAGATCACCTAGTTCCATTTACCTTTTTTAATGAATGTTCCAAGTATTTTACAAACTTTATTTTTGTTATTAAACTTCTCTCCTGGAAATAAAATTTAAACGAATAATTTCACATTGGTTTTGTTAGGTTCCGATAAACATAATGAATGGTAACTTTTGGGATCCATTTATGGACCAATACTATACGTATATTTTTATTGTATAATTATTAAGTAACTAAACTATGCTTATTCATATTCCTCTCATTATAAGCTTTATTTTGACCCATAAACTATTATTATACGTTTTTTACCATTCTTGAGTTATGGACTGTCTATTAATTACTACTTCCCTCATTCACAGCCATATCTGGCTAATTCTTGTACAAATGTTGTTTCATATTTTATTGGTACGTTGTGGTCTGCTTATTTGGTATATAAACAGAGTATGTTTGAAATATAATGATTCATATAGCAGAGGCTTGGGTTGGTGTTCTGGAGTAAACTGGCTGGGCTAGGCGGAAAGCAGGACCAATTAGGAATCTAGGCGGCTCGCACGTATTTTACGCGTTATTGATCCGATCGATAAGTCACTGCACAATAATCGGCGGTCACAAGTTATAACAGTTTTGTTACTGAAATTGATCAATATTTGTAGATAGAAACTTTGAAAATTATTCAAAGAACCAGTAGTCTGATTAAATATACACATCTATTTCCCTAAGAATTCATAACTGATTGGTAAACATCATTTTGACTGTAAATTACTTTATCAAATGAATTATGAAAGTCATTTGTTTAGAAAATGATGAATCTTTCCTAATTTGACAATCTAGATGACAGCGAACAGAAGAATCCAGGACAGAGAAGAGTATATTTTCTAATCTTTTTATAAAAAGTCAATCACAATCGATTGATCACTGGGTGATTATCAATGTCATGTATGTCAGGTCCTTTTTAGTGAACATCGAATGCTATCGACCAAGTTCCAATGTGGCCACTAGTCTAGATGACTCGACTTTGTGTGCACTATGTTGAGATTAAATGGTGATTGGAAGTAGTCGACAGGAAACCTTGAACCCGGGCTTCCTAATAACAAATCAATATTCTCGATTAGTGTCACCAAGTTCAGGCTATATTGGTGATCAAAATAAAACGGTGAATTTGTTATCATATATTGGTTTACTATAAGAACAGTTGAAGGTTCGGTTCGTACAGCTTTTCTCAAATCTATTTACTTTGCCTATCCTCCCAAATAGGTATGACATGACAGGCATTCGAATAACAATTATAATGTGAACTGTATAAATGCTGTGCTTTATCATACAAACTCAAAACATCTGTTAGTAGTGTAATGATGTAAAATGTTATATTTATTCTTAGTTGTTGTCGTTGTATTGGGAAAACTCGCAACAATAATACGATTTGAAGTAAAATAATCACAAATTCTGCTGACATCTTTTTGATGGAGTTTTGTTCTCTGAGCTGAATGGTTTGGTCGTGGGGCTTTCATTGTTCTTCTGAACGACATCATCAGCACAAGCTTCAGATATATAAAAGCCGAGGAACTACTTAGGGATAAGAGCACATACAAACTGTTGGACATAAATCCAGTCAAAAAGTTAGTCAACCAAATCTCAAAGACCTTAAACAAGCTCGTCAAAGAAGGAAAAATAACAAGTCAAGATCAATGGAGAATGAAATCTAATGGATCAGTACTCCCTCGATTCTACGACAGACCGAAAATACACAAACCAAACATCCCACTACGTTCAGTCTTAGCACTCCCCGGAACGCCAACATACAATTTGTCAAAAGAAATTTCACGAATATTGAACCATTTAGTCGATTCATCCAACCAATCCATCAAATCCCTCACACAATTCCCGGATCAAATTAAGAACATTCAAATGAACAACGATGAGCTGATGATATACTCCGATGTAACAGCGTTATTTACCTCAATTGAACCAAGGTTAGTAAAGGGAACTATATCCCTGCTTCTCATCAACGACACAAATCTCACAAAGTACACGAAGCTTCAAATTCAATGTCTACTAGAAAAGACTTCTATCTGAAGTTTGTGCTGATGATGTCGTTCAGAAAAACGATGAAAGCCTCACGACCAACTCATCCAGCTCAGAGAACAATACTCCATCAAAATCATCCACCTGAGCTACAAATCTTCTTCGCCCTCTCTGCTGACATCATATAATTAATCTGAATGATCAGGTTAGTGGTCTTTCAGACAATTGTATCGCTTATAAGTGGGTTTTTTTTGTTGTTGAAAATATTCAAAATCCAATGCCATCTGAAATAAATCGACTGTACATTGGTTGTTTTGTGAATGTTTGTGTTTTCATCTGTTGAATAGTGCAAGTATTATTCACCATGAATTTGTGTTGAAAAGAACGATTATAAACAAAACAGGAAACAGTGAACTCTAATTGGGTATAGATATGGGTGTGCTTATCTACAATTCATTTATTACTAATATGTTTACAGTGAAACCTCGTCATTTATATTTGATTCAATTCACGAATGAATAAGGAACATTTGTAAGCTTTATAGACTATTCCAGTTTTAAATTAAGTGAAAAGTTGCCTATGTGTAATGCAGGAGAATCAATTTCTTTGTAATGTAATAACTGAATGACAACTGTATATATTATTTATATAACTAAACATTTAAGAATATTTTCACTGACTTTTTGAAATCGGTTTTTGTCTCATGAAACAATCCTTCAAGGTTGAATAGTGCGGAACTGTAGTATTGATGAAACACAAGAAAAATAGACGAAATTCACTTCAAAATAGAATAGGAAATAGATAGTGATTATTATTATTATAACAACCAAATACCAAATCTACTACTTCAATTCAAATAATTCACTGTATCGAAAACAAGTGATGTTTTTTGTTCTCAAAAGTTATATAAATCTTGTATGTATGAAAACATTCTCATAGAACACTACACAAAAGCAAATGTTGTAAATCGAAATTTTCAAATTTTACAGTTGATTGGCCACTGGGTCCTTCTTAGTGCAGATCGAGTTCTATCGACTAAGTTTCAATGTTTGGTCACTAGTCTAGGTGACTTGACATTGCGTGCACTATGTTAAGATAAGATGATGGTTGGAGTTAGTTAACAGGAAACCCTAGACCTCAGTTTCGTGCTACTTGGTAGTTGTCAGCAAGATGTACACGAAATCTTGAGGGAATTAATGCTCCCCAATGGATACGATCTTGTGTCACCTAGTTCCGCAGTCAGAGACGTTACCACTGAGTTATCAAGGCAGAGACTGACCTCCTGTATGATTGAGATATATTTACAATTGATTGATCACTGAGTGGTGATCAATGTCATGTATGTCAAGTCCTTCTTAATGCAGATCGAATCCTATCAACCAAGTTGCAATGTGGCTACAAGTCTAGGTGACTCAATATTCATAAGCATCATAAAAGTCACTGATATTAAGTCTACATTCAGTATTATAACGACAACTATTTGAAGAAGAAAAAAAAGAAAAAGAAATATAGAAGGAATCATACATGGTATTAGATCTTTATTTTCAAACTGTTTACTGATTTCTAAAAGATTTCAAATGAAGATAAACAAAGTTAAATCATATCTATCAATAGGGAGTTTATACAATAAAGTATGTTTTTGTTTACAACAATCATGGAACTCTTATTATAGATAGTTGAATTTTACTATTGTCGAAATATATTTTTTTTAAAATTAACTACATGCTATTTCGTGGATTGATTGGTGTTAGACACTATCACCATTGGATGCCGGCTCAGTGGTCCAGTTGGTTAAGCGTTCGCACGCGAGACCGAAGGCCCTAGGTTGGGATCCCGCGAGCGGGATCGTAGACGCGCACTGCTGAGGAGTCCCACAATAGGACGAAACGGTGGTCTAACATCAATCGGTTCGTGATCTCAATCAAAAACTTAATAATCTCCACAACCCCTATACTAGTGAATTTCTATAGTTTGAAACATGGTCTACATGTTTTATTAACTATTCTCATTCATTTGAACACGTTTTATTTAAATGATCTGAAATGTTCGTGGGTTTTTTTATACAGATCAGGAATGATATCACGCTAACTATCATTTCGTTATTTTGTGTAACCTTTAAAGAGTAAATTTAATAAAGAAGTAGTGTGATTTATGATTCCATTTGATTAGTGAAAAGAAAGATCAAAATAACTGAAACAAACTTTTTTAAGCAATGATGGCTAGTAGTGAAATCCAGGACACACGTTTCGTCCTATTTGGGACTCGTCAGCTGGACGTGCCTGCATCTCAGAGTTGATGTTCACTCTGAGACTCGAACCCAGTACCATTCGCTTCAAACGCCATCGCGTTATCAACTCAGCTACTGAGTCCTCATAGCCAATTGCTTGTACAATGGGGTGAATTTGAAATTAACTAAGTATTGTTTTGGCTTGTATCTTCCTATTGAGGTTTTAAGACTGCAATTGATCAGCCTGTTATTGGCATATGTACATACTGAAATAAATCAGTGTAATAATGCATCAGTGTGAATGATAAGTTGATAAGAAGTACATTTGTAATATCTGTTCAAACCTTTGGTAAATGAATGAAAGGATTCTGCTTGATGTTGTTTACTTATACACTTCACGTCTAAAATCAACCATTAGATTTGTGTAAACAATTATCTTTATTTTAAACATACATTTTTTGATCGCTTCACTTTTTGCAAACAGATTCTGAGCCATTTTATCTGAAAGAAACAGATATACATATTTTTTGAAATTCTTCAAACAACTAATTATTCAAGGATAAGAGATTAGTACAGTTCGTTGTTTATATCATTGTAAGCTGGAAAACACTTAGTATGAGACTTCTGAGCAAAGCGTATTCAAATCCTGTTTTGATCCTCTGAATGGTGATGTTTGCACATCGATGGGGAATTCCATGCTAGAACGAAACAGTTATTTAGTACACGTAGTTTTTCACTGACTGTCTCACTACGATTAGTCTGTGATGTAAACTATGAAACGCGACATTTATCAGTTGCTTTACCAAATTATTATTCGTTACTTAGAAAAAAATTAGTTGACATAAGGATTAAGTTTGTGTGATGTATACCATTAAATAGCAGCACAAATAGCAGCGCAAATCTATGAATCACGTGTATACAACTGATTGAATCACTTGATCGCACTAACTATTGTTATTCATGTAATTACATGGTTTGAATCCTGATGAGGACATATTTCAAAGGATTCAACTCCTCAGTTTACCGTTGCAACTACTGTAAGGTAAATAGGGAACTCTGTTAGAATTTTCTTGGATTAGTTGTTGGAAAACGAATTTCAGTTGGACATCATTAAAAACGACTTAGTAGATAAAATGTACTGAATAATTCATTACTATAGATAGTTGCTTTTACTTTTAACTTCTTTTCTACATGTTACTATGTTGTGTTATACATGAAAGTATATTTAAGACATGTAGGCTTTCTAAATTATGTATTTACGTACATTGAAAATTGGAAATCAGTTCTTATTTCACTTACTCATTTGAGTTTTTATTAACTTTTCATTTTCTCTGAACATAACTATTCCTCTCTCTGCATCATCTATAAATTGGACAAATAATATTCTATTGAAAATGTTAATTTCTTTTACCTCAGATTACAATTTGACCATTTCAATAACTTAATAGTTGAAATAATGAGTGAACTGAAGCTACAACACCATGGAAAACCTGGAAGCAATGGAAGGCCGTTTCTTCTTAGTATGGGACTCCTCCTTGGTAGTGCGTATCCACGATCCCGCCTCGCAACATTCGAACCTAGAACATATCAGTCTTGCGCGGGAGCGCTTAAGCTATAGACCACTGAACAGGCCGGCATCCAACGGTGTTAATGTGTAACTTCAACTAATCCATGAAGTTGCGCCACCGTCCACCATTGTCACCAGTGAGTTACTATCTCACATCAGACCCGGTTGAACTCTATTGGTCTCGACTTCTCATTAAAAGTTCAGGGAATACCTCTTGTGGACCGTCATTACTGAGAGTATGACGATTATAATCAGAGAATGGATTTTGTGGATATTATAGTAACATAATAGTTGAATCGATGAGTAGTCGCATACTAGGACGAAATGGCCGTCCAGTACTTCCAGGTATTCCACGATGTTCTAGCTTCAATCGACTCATGAATTCGACTATTAAATTATTATAATATCCACAAAAACCATTCTTTGATTATAATTGTAAACATAACTATTGATATCATGTTGCTGAACATCAAAATTGTTTGTACAACACAATGATACCACTATTCATTATTTATATGTTAAATATGCACACTCATAGACTTATATTATAAATCATAGAAATGAGTAGAATAATCACAGTCTGTAAAATATTATTGTTTAATAACTAATATATCAATATTTTTTGTAAGCAATGATGAATAGTGGCTAGCAGTGGAATCCAGGACACATGTTTCGTCCTTTTTGGGACTCGTCAGCTGGATGTACCTGCATCTCAGAGTTGATGTTCACTCTGGGATTCCACTGCTAGCCAATATCCATCATTGCTTACAAAAAGCTTGTGAATTAAGGCAATATCGAGGCATACGCACAGTATGCACATATGCCAATAACAGACTGATCAATTGCAGTCTTAAATCTCAATGGGAAGATACAAGCCAAACAATACCAAGTGAATTAATATGCCAATAGCTGTCAATGTCTCACTCATATCCAGTGGTAAATCAACTAGGATGGTTTTGAGGTAAACGCTATTGGATGAATTTTAAACGATGTGTACAGATTTATAAATGAACTTTATTCATATAGACACGTATTTCACAAGACAATCTATGTAAACTTTACATTCTCAAGTGTTACAAATTAAAACATACTTAGTTTTTCCACATTGCTCCAAGTAACTAAGTTTAATGAAAAGAAATAGAATTATACATGCTCTTGATGAAGTATTAAGGCATCAATGTCTTATTCATTATTTACTTTCAAAATAGTTATCATAGAAAAGTTATAAATTGCAATTCGAATTGTTTAGTTGGATCTTTGTAACAAACGATCTGCTTTAATATTGTTGATCGTTCATTTAGAATTGGACAATGGTTAGTCACTTCAATTTAGTGGATTGTTGATGCTAATATGAGAAATACTAACTAATCAATTAAATATCAGTAAGCAAGTATCTAAAATGGTTGAAATTTCGAAATATCAATCTAGAAAGATTGAGTTTGACATAATTGATGCATCGTTCCCATAGATGAACTTGAAGCTTTATTAATAAATAGCATAGGATTTTGTAAAAAAAACAATCTTTCCACAAAGATCTTGGCATATTTATTAATATACATTAACTAGCAATATTTGATATAACTCCACCTGGAGCCCCGCTGAGGCTACCGCCGATCCCAAGCCCGGAAAAAATGGAGAGGATTGGGCATGGAGTTAGCTACCCCATCCCGCAGAAAACTAACTCGCTAAAAGAACTCTAACCATCAATGTTTGATATAGCTATTCAAACTATACATAAATCACGAGTTAACTGGTATATATATATGTATATTATCGAGATATGATTTGATGACTTACAAGATTGAGGTATGGCTTGAAAAATATTCAAAATATCAATCGGTACAAAACTAAGTGAAGTGAAGTAACAATTTAATGAGATAACATTATCTTAAATCATCTAATAATGTCTATTCTTGTGTTAACCGTGATTCCTATTGGGTAAACAAACCGTAGAATATATCAGAAGAGATTTTGTAGATATTATAGTCATTTTAACACTTGAGATCATGATTCAATTGAAGCTAGACAACCATGGAAAACCTGAAAGCACTGGAAGGCCATTTTATCCTACAGCAACGCGCATCCACGATCCTGCCTTGTAAGATTCGAACTCAGGACCTATCAGATTTGAGTGAGAGCGCTTAACCATTAAACCACTGAGCCAGCCGGCATCCAACGGTGTTAGTGTCTAACTTGAACTAATCCACACGAAATTGAGCGATACATTCATAGTGAAGCTGTTGGCTAAATGATGATAGGTGATAGATTTGGTTTAGAAAAGTATTTTCATCATATATTGGAATATTATATTTACTTCTCATTTAAACACGTATCACTATATAAATTGTTTTCATGATTGAATATCAAGTTTTTCGCTTAAGGAGTCAATGGGGATGTATTATATACAATACAAAATAGTTCCATGAAAAGATTTGTAATAGATTCTATTGATTTCTTTTGGGAAATAAAAATCGATTTTGCCTAATTTATTATAACATTGTTGTGTGGTTCTATTTTTCTCATGAATGATTAGATTACCATTTTTCTTTAGAAGGTAGAATTTGCTAGTACTTTTAATGCAATGAATTGCTGTCAATGATGTCAAATGTTGTAACTAATTAACTAGCAAGTAATGATAAATACTCTCAAATAATTTTAATTGTAAATCAGTTATGCAAATGTGAAGGCACGGATCGACAAAGCAAGAGCAGAATATTTACAACTGAAGAACATCTGGAACTGAAAACAACTGTCTGTCAACCAACAACAAAGTTAGAATTCTCAATGTGGTATTTCAACACAGTTCTACTGTATGGGACGGAAACTAGGAGAACTACGAAAGCCATCAGTCAGAACATACAAGTGTTTATTAACAGTTGTCTACAAAAAATACTCCGGATCCGTTGGCCGTACACTATTAGCGACAAACTAATGTGGGAGAGAACGAACCAGATCCCAGTGGAGGAAGAAATCAGGACGATGAGGAACACATTGAGGAAAGAACACAACTGTGTCACAAGACAAGCCTTCATATAGAGTCCTCAAGGCCAAAGGAAAACTGGAAGACCAAGGAAAACATTACGCCGGGAAATGGAGATAGACATGAAAAGAATGAACAAGAATTGGATGGAACTAGAAAAGAAGGCCCAGGATAGATTGGGTTAGAGAATGCTGGATTGTGGCCTATGCTTCATTGGGAATAACGGGCGTAAGTTAGTAAGTGATTTGGGTCGGATGATGCATGATTTTGTCTAAGTTACTTTTTGTTTAATACAGAAACGAAATGTGTACAGAGGCCGAAATGCCTTATTGCTAAGAAAAATTGAATTATCACGGATTTAATTTCTGTTATTTATTTGCTCCGAAGGAGTGGCTTAAACTAAGTCACGAAATGCCAGGAAATCTAATTTCTTTATTCCTTGAGATATCTACAAATATGTTACTTATTCTTAACTTTCTACCCAAAGGTCAATGTATAAGCAAAGATGGAGAGTGGCCAGAAGTGGAATCCAGGACGCACGTTTCGTCCTATTTGGGACTTGTCAGCTGGGCGTACCTCCATGTCAGAGTTCATGTTCCTCCTGGGATTCGAACCCACTACCGTCCGCTTCAAACGCCATCGCGTTATTCACTTAGCTACTGAGTCCTGATGGCCACTTGGTCGTGAAATGGGGTGAATTTGTAATTCAATTGGTGTTGTTTACTTGAATCTTCCCATTGATATTTAGGACTGCAATTGATTCGTTCAACTGACGAGTCCCAAATAGGACAAAATGTGTGTCCTGGATTCCACTGCTATCCACTATCCATCTTTGCTTATAAATTGAGGCAATACGCACAGTATGCACATATTGCCAATAAGAGACTGATCAATCGAAGTCTTAAACATCAATGGGAAGATTCTAGTAAACAATAACAATGTTCAATTTATTTGAAACTATCAAGTTCAACCTTGATATTGATACCTCTAAACTTAATCTGTTCACTATAGAAATTCATATATTTCATCTAACTAAATGTTCGCATTAATTATTCATTTCTTGAAACTTTACAATCGTATTTGAAACAATTTAAGTAAATATACCACCTCATTTCATTGAACACATAACTTTCATAAGAATATATAAAATACAGTGATGATTCTGACAGTTCAAACTAATCCATGAACATTGTTTGATAACTTACGATCATCTCCCAATGCTATGAAAAAATATAACATGTAAGTATAGTTATAATTGAAAGTATAAAACAGTGTATCTAGGAGCATGTTTCACTTTGAAACTAGTTTAAACAATCATGGTTGATTGTTATTGGAGACCGTAAGTTATATTTTTCTTTAGTATAAACCTTTCTAATTGATGCTTTCATCGATTATTCAATTTGTACCCTTAATAGGTAACGGTTAGTTACTAACTTTTATAACTATACTGTTGCCTACAATCATTAATTCATTGTAAAAGATCATTTACATCATAACTTTAAATGTTATCATCACTGATAAGTAACAATTGTGCTTAATGGAGATTTATTTTGTCAGACATTTGAAAGTTCTTCAATTCTCATTGTATTCACAATAATAATAGTTATTAATAAACTTAGCGGATACCCACAAAGTAATTGAAAGACAGTTGAATATCTTTATTATTTTCTGATAATAATAATAATGACAGGTTTGAAACTATTGTACGAGTTGATGTTGAGTGAATACATTATCATCTTGATACTACTCATAAGGCACTAAACATGTTTGTTCACCTATTCTGTCTATCTTCCAGCTTTAAGCGTCCATTCTTTCGATATCAATACATTACAGAATGGTTTTATCTTATAGTCATGATATGCTTGACGCTATTACGTGTTCAGCTTACTCGATAAATGGAACGTAGGTCAAAGATACAGTGACACAATAGGCTATTCTAATCCGTTGTTCCCAGCCCTCCTAACTACATCAACAAGTCTTGATCAGGTGTAGAGAATGTATTTTACAAACACTCAGAAAATACGAGGTCACCAAGCACACAAATCAAGCTTATTTATAGAATGATAGAAACAACCTTAGGAGAGCCACAAAATAGCGTAGAAAAGAAAACTGTCAATCAATGACAGTGAATGATTTCGAGGTGGGAAATGTAAGCTGTATGTCAACTAAGCGTCTCCTGGTGTGAAAATATGAAATCCGAATTTTCAGAATAAAATGACGAAAATTAGGACTTTTTTTCAAGTGAGTTCGAGGGAACTAACGTACTCAATAAGTCAGAAATTTGTTATTTGAAAATAGCAATGACAGAGTGACTACATCGAAATACGTCTACAATATAATACTGATTTATATCAATGTGTTGTCTTTATTCTGAAGTACATCTTAATCATCATCACTGAAGCATAGGATCGTTTTCTGCTGCCTACTGACACACAATTTTGACTGATTTATGTCAATCTTTGGAACCGAAATAGGAGTGTCAACTTGTTTAGTGGCTTTTGTATTCACTAGTTTGCATTATTGTTTTGGTGTTAACACTCTGAATGAAATCTGTCTTGTATGGATTTCTTGTCAGCATTTCATCGAACAATCTATTGAAACTAAATAATATTCAACTGGTTCATCAATCGAAAAGATATTCGTTAATTAATAAATTATCACACAGTTGATATTTCACTACTGACTACAATCCAGAATTATATCAAAAAACCTATTCAACAATTATTAACTGTTGGTTTTACTGGCTAGCAGTGAACACCATGATTCTCTTAGTCTGATTAGCTGACTGTACTTGCAGCCGTGTTGATATTTACATCTAGACTTCAACCTGTTAACGTTCTCTTAAAACACTGAACGTTATATCTATTCAGCTTCCTATTACAAATAGTCATTGACTTGTGTAACGAAGATGAAATCTTATCAGTTTGTATCAGTCAGTCAGTCAGATACAACGTAGGACCAGGCACATATATGCATCGGTCCAAGTTCCCATACCACATTAGCACAACAAGATAAACACCGGATTCATAGAAGTAGTTAAGTCAATGATGGCAATATATAAAAGAAAGATTACATATAAGGACATAGTACAGGAAGAAAGATTTAGTTCGTAGAAAGAAAAATATGAAGTGATTTTAATCTCTTAGTTTAAGGGAAGACAGAGAGTGTATACATCTATGCCATTGTGATCGATTCTGAGCCATGTCACCAAGAGCCTCCAACCATTGGTTACGATAGTCACGCGGACCCCAACCAAGTAGTCTGCATCTAACAACGTGGATCAGACTAGAAGTTAGTGACTTCAAGCACTGATGCCACGTTTTGGTCTGGCCACCCCTAACTTTCTTCCTCCCATCCCCCACACCGGTTAGCATTGCACGTCGTGGTAATCGGTGTTCAGGCATACGTAACATGTAGCCCAACCATCTCAGTCGATGAAGATTCACAACCTGATCAACTGATTTGCCCTCATTCCCTAATACCCTGAGTCTAACCTCACTATTACTTACCTGGTGATCCCAGCAGATGCCAGCAATATTTATAAGGCATCTGTGGTCAAATACTTGTAGCTTACGGGTGTCTTCTACTCTTAAAGGCCATGTTTCGCTGCCGTAAAGTAAGACAGAACGGACTGCCGCGCAGTATACTCGTCCTTTTATTGATAGACGGATATCTCGCCTCCGCCAAAGGTGACGTAAGTTGGCAAAAGCCAAACGAGCTTTTCGGATCCGTGCTGAGATTTCGTCCGATACCAACCCATTAGGGCTGATCAGACTTCCAAGATAAGTGAAGTTGTCAACGCGTTGGACTACTTCACTCCCTATCCTTAGTTCAGGTGTTGACGCAGCCCAGTCCTGAAGCAACAACTTGCATTTCGAGGGAGAGAAGAGCATTTCAAACATTCTAGCATTGTTGCTTAGTGCTACCAGAAGACTCTGCATTTTATCAGCGTCTTCACCAAACAGGACTATGTCATCTGCGCATTATAATTCAATAAGTGGACCACTTGGAAGGAGATCAATTCCATCAGTAGGTCTATGATGAAATTAAACAAAAGTGGAGAAAGTGGACAGCTTTGACGGACATCACTTGAGGTTGCAAAAGTAGATAACAGTTCGCCATAAGCTCTGACTCGACTAGTAGTGTTCGAGTAAAGAGCCTTCACGAGGTTTGTGTACTTCTGAGGTACGTCTTTCAATGACAGACACTTCCACAGAATCTCGCGGTTTTCAGAGGCAAATGATGCTTTTAAGCCAAGAAAGACCACCATTGTCGGATGCCGATAAGTATGCCTGTGTTCTAGAACCTGACGAATTGTTTGTATGCTAGGGACCTTTAGAATACTGATCAAAATGCTCTTGAATCAATGTCAATACCAAGCCTATACTTTTTGGGATGCATGTATTTAAAAAGAAACTGATCAACTTCAGTCATTCAACTTAACAATGGGAAGACACAAACCCTCACGAATGAATGAGAAATTCTAAAATGATAAAATTGACAAGACTATTTGACAGGATGAAACAAAAGAAAAATCATTAGTTGAAGAATGACTTTCACTTCAATATGAGTGCTGAATGTAAATTTTCTATTTAAAAATGAGAACCAGTTTATTATTTTGATGTAAAATGTACCAGTTAAATAACTGACAATCAGTATAATTAATCTCCAATGATTTGACTTCTAAGTCAGTGATTGGATTCTTTTTAGTGTATTTCTTCATCTAAACACACGTAAGCTGTATACAAACACATAACCGTTTCAATAACACCAATCATCATAGAATTCATGTAAAAAAAAATCGATACTCTCATCGATTATTTAATTTTAGAGCTGTACTCCTGGATTCATAATTCATCAGTTTATTTCATTGTGTTTTTTTTTGGTTGAAAAATGAATCAAACAGAAATTGTTCTTCGTTTAATCAATTAAACATTTCAGTAGTTGAGATCATGATTCAATTGAAGCTAGACTACCATGGAAAACCTGGAGGCACTAGATGGCCATTTTATCCTATTGTGGGACTCCTCCTTGACAGTGTGCATCCACGAACCCAGAACTTATCGGTCTCGCACTCGAACGTTTAACTTCTAGACTACATTATTAAAAAACAAGATCAACATAGTGTATTTTATAAAGACAATATTCCATCACTTACCCCTATCGAATAGCACTTGTAAAACATTGTAAAAAACAGTATATATGTTTATGCAAAACAATAAAGGCATGAAAGATATATACATTAAATACATACACAGGTCTATATTCTTCTTTTTCTTTTTTATATACAAATTATTAATCCGCTAATTTCTGTCATACTGTGGTGTGTGCTACTGATGTCGACGGATATAAGTAGTATATATCGGTGAACCAATCAGGTATCCGATAACACGCCTTGAAGTTTGGTGCAAAATTCACTCATCCATTTGGCTAAATTGAGCTTTGACATTATAGCTGATGTCAGTTGGTGATGAAAACCCTATTATCTAATTCTTAACCCTTACTATCAACTGTAAATATTAATTTTAATTCCTCACATTGGTTTATAACCCTCATTTAGCCGTAGTATGTAGGTTGACATTCTGAAGTTCACTTTAGTTTCACTCAAAGGTCGTCCATAAATTATAGTCTTACCTATATATCATCCATTACAATATCTGTTTAAACTGTATCATTCATAACTAATTATAATAATGTAATGTATATCACTTGTCAATGTTGAGATGGTGGTCAATGTTCCGACGATTGTTGTATTGATACATATTTGTATGCTTTTTATCGATCAAATAAGTTTTTTTTGATAAAATCAGTTCCATGTAAATGCAACTTATTACCATCAGAAACTTTATGTTTCCAACATCTTTTTTTTTCGGACTAGACATTCAGTACAATAAATAGTTAAAATTGTATTGAATGACTTACCATATATAGCAGCTTATAGGGAAAAGTATCAATAGAAAGTGAAAGTCATATAAATAATTAAATCATATTTTCAGTTAATTCTTGATGAGTTTTTATTATCATTACTGTTAGTAAACGATTATGATGACGATGATGATGATGATTCGTTAACGAATAAGGTTATAGTAGTAGACAGTTATAATCTTAGTTCATTGAGATACTTTGGGTGACTTTGCAACTGACCAAACAAATGTAAACTGGTCAGAATTCTACTTCAGTGCGAATAGTACACTGTATTAAATGATACAATTATAAAGGTGACAGAATTTTAGAACTTTGAAATAATAGAGTCTAACTCTACTAACCACCTCTTGTAAGAGAACAAACCAGATCCCAGTGGAGGAAGAAATCAGGAAGATGCGGTGGAATTGGATAGGACACACATTGAGGAAAGCGTCCAACTGCGTCACGACACAAGACCTCATATGGAATCCTCAAGGCCAAAGGAAAAGTGGAAGACCGAAGAAAACACTACGCTGAAGGAAGGTCAAGGACAGAGTGGGTTGGAGAATACTGGTCGGTGGCCTATGCTCCATTGGGAGTAACAGGCGTAATTAAATAAGTAGGTAAGTAAATAACCCTATCAACCAAGACAAAACATTGGCACTTCAATATTTTAACCCTTAAATGAAAATTTAGGTTGTGTAAAAAAACCCTAACGTATTACAAAAAGAGACAAAATGCAAGTCATACAGGGTTTTAACATGATTTTTCTCTTAGAGTGCCATGTCTAATAAATGTCTTCATCCAAAATATATTATTTCTGGCGTCATGAGATTCTTCATGTGTTATATGCTGCCTTTATCTACAGAGAATGTTACGTACTTGTGAAATTTTTGAGAAGTTCTCGAATTATCTTTGTGGTAATGGTAATGGTAGTATTAGTGATAATATTAGTATTATTAGTACTGGTAGTGTTGTTAGATGGTGTTTCAGTAGTAAAAATAGAACGAACATCAAGACAGTTCTATTGTACGGAGCTGAGATTTCGGGAACTACTACAACCATCATGAAGAATGTACAAGTATTTATAAACGATTTTCAACGTAAGATATTCAGTGTCCGTTGATCGAATACCATCACCAACAGATTACTGTGCGAGAGAACAAACCAGATTCCATTTGAAGAGGATATTAAGAAAAGAGGTGAATAGGACATGTATTACGGTAATCATTAAACTGAATCGTGAAGCAAGCGCTAACTTGAAATGCTAAAGGGAAACGGTAAAGACGAAGACCAAAGAACACATTGTATAGGGAATCGGAAGCAGACATGAAAAGGATGAATAACAACTAGAAAGGACTGCCCATAACACAGGTGGATGAAGAATTCTCGTGGGTAGCTTATGCTTCTCTACAAGGGGTAACAGGCATATACAAGTAATGAAAATATCTATATGTATCATATTCAGAGATAAATTACTTTCATTTGAAGATTTTGTCAATTTTTGTATGACAATAACTACTCCAAATACACATTCTCACTTGATATGATGGAAAGAAAAGTCAATTTTCGATTGATTTACTCATTATGAGTTTTGTTCAAGAATACCTTCCGTTTTTGATTCAATGCAGTGATTACTCAATGTAGTATTTGTTTTCTTTTCCCAGTATGATATTTTATTCTGTATAATATACAATATTCTTGTATTCAATGGACATGAACTATGCTCACTATGTGATTTCATCTTAATTATTCATCAAAATGGGTGGACAATCAGTATATAAATGAGTGTATTTTCTACTAGAGCTGTCGTCTTCGTCGTCGTGTTTTGGGGTTAATAAATCATTACTTATACCAGTCTTTGTGTTCTTACTTTCGCGTCGTGGGAATTTCAGAGAACCTTCGTTTCGAGTATAAGTGATAAGTGTTTCCGACATAACAATCAACGACGATCAGATACAAAAAGTAGCATTAAAAGAGTCAAGACAATAAACAATCAAACGACAAGTTTTAACATCAGTATGATAGTGAAAACGTTCTTATTAGAATACATTGAATATCATTACTTAACTTGATTATTCAAACACTATTTTAAACATCAGTTAAAGAGTAGACATTTTGAAAATAATAAATTTTTTTGTCTAACTTACAGTTTCCCATAGCAACTTGAAAATGTACCAAAATCAAGATGAAATAAAATAACATTGTACAGTACATCATTCAATATTTCTATTCACTTTTATACTATTATAATGTGATCGTGATTCATTAATTTTAATCTCTACCCTTCAGTCTGTTTATTATTGGTTTATATTAAAGAATAATTTTAACATTTTAAATTGTACACCCACTGATCAGCATCATATTTACTTCACAGATAATTGACTGATGATCTTAACCATTGAAATTATTATTATATCTACAAAACCCCCTTCTGATATTAATCAGCATATACTCACTAGTGACTGACTTCAAAAGGTATTTCTTGGAGTTCTAGTAAGAAGCAGTGAAGTTCAACCTGGTCTGTTGTGAGATAGTAACTCATTGAAGACAATGGTGGATGTGTCGCTCAATTTCGTGTATTAGTTGAAGTTAGACATTAACACCGTTGAATGTCGGCTGGCTCAGTGGTCTAGTGGTTAATTGCTCGTGCGCGGGACTGATAGGTCCTGAGTTGGAATCTTGAGAGGTGGGATCGTGGATAAGCATTGCTAAGGAGTCCCACAATAGGACGAAGTAGTAGTAGTAGTAGTAGTAGTAGTAGTAGTAGTAGTAGTAGTAGTAGTAGTAGTAGTAGTAGTAGTAGTAGTAGTAATAGTTGTAATAGTCAAACAATTGTCTCAAACTTCACTGTTCTTTCATTTCCACAGAAACCATCGTCTGTCCTTGTTCTCTTCTCTTCCATCTTCTTAACCTTCTGCTGCCGGGGATTTCGCTTTGGACTGATGATACATCAGTAGAACATGCCACAGTAGTAATAGTATTAGTAGTATCAAAAACATTGTGATTAGTTGTAGTAATGTGATTGATATTAATAGTAGTATTAGAAATTGTAGAATATTGAAGTTATTGATAACGTTGATGGATATTAACCAAAAAAATAAAAATATATCAAAATTATTATATTATTATATTATATTATTATAATATTTCGTCACACCATATATGCTTATTCTTATTGGTAACACCAGACCTAAGGTCCTTGGTTCGAGTCTGGCGTGCGGTATCGTGGATATGCATTGCTGAGGAGTCCCATACTTCCAGGTTTTTCATGGTGTTTTGACATTGATCAGTTCAATTTTAAAAAAATCAACGATCTCAGTTAGTTGTAAGGAAATTTAAGTTTACAGTGAAAAATGATGTGATGATGTTTACTTTTCTTGAAAATCACTTCTATATATTTGAATATATTTCTATATTTCTCAAATGTCTGTGTACTTATTATTGTATATCCACTTATAGATATGTCAAAAATGGTGTTACGTTCTCGTAAATTTTTAAAAAGAAACTAAAGATTGTTTGAATGGATCTTACTGTTTCTTTGTTCACGTTTTTATATGCTGATTTTATCCATTTAACATATAAATAACATAAGTACCATTGTAAATACAGATCTTAATAGTATAAAAGAGTCAAAAATGAATAGTAAATTATAAAAATTCAGTTTGTGATCTTAAAAATTGAAGCTGTTCCAGTTAAATAATCCATGAAGAAAGAGTGTCATTAATGCAGATATTTTGTACAAGGAAAATTTAAAAGAAGCTCCAGATATATCAGAATTTCGTACACTACTGAGTTGGTTAGATACTAAGATCAGTTATTTTCCAAATTTAAATACTTCAAACAAATGTTTGAAGTACTCTATCCTAAGAAAATTATATGATAGCGAGCATCAGTAAGTGGTTGAAGAGAACTCACAGTTACTCTATACATATCACTATTCTTGAGATTTAAGTGATGGTGAAATTCAATGTATGTAGGTAGGTAGGTACGTAGGTGGGTATGCATGAATGTATGTAGGTAGGTAGGTAGTACTGATGTTCTAAGATCAAATAACAAGTGTAGATTAATTAATATAGATACCAAGCTCATACCACCATACTTTTCATTTGTTATTGTTATTGTTTAGTGATTTGAGGTCTTGGTAAATTAAGTCAATTCAATCCTTTGATTAGTAGTGAATATAATGTAATTTATCAGTTTTAAATATAATACACTTCCATAGTTTACTGATATTTGGAAGTATATACTATAAGCATAGATTTACTAAAGAAACAATGATCTGCTATATGTTAAAGTATATTACCAACAACATTCCAAAATGCATGTTGTTTCTAATGATGTAGCAATTGGAATCACTTAAGGAATGTGATGAATTCATTAATTTTTAATTCCATTTAAGTTTACAGACACAAAACAAAATCTGTGATCTGACCATAAAATAGTTCAAAGTATCATGCTTTAATATGACAAATAGTCAGATTCCATAGCTTTCAGTTTAAATGAATTTATGTGTAACGGAAAGAGAACAATGAAAATCCCTCTGCAGCTTCTTTGTTGAACAGTATTGTCATCTGTTTGTTCCTTCTCCCTGTTGTGTATTTTAACCTTTGTTTCGATCTCGTTTAACCATATCTTTCGTTATTCAGTCTTTCTCGTTTCAGCCTTTATTATGTAATTTTGATTAAAGACTTATTTTTTGTTACCTAAGTTATCATTGCATGTTGCCGAACCGTTGACAGTAAGGTCGTGTTTAACTAAGCTCAAGGTCACGGCGTGGTTCAGTGTGTGTTTATTAACCTCTTGATTGTCTGCTTGGGAGGATCGCTGGAATCCCTGCGGATAGATATTTGATCCCATCTTGTTGGGAATATTTTTATTGATTCTCAGGTATCAAACCCCTTAGTATTAACTGTCTCTTTCATTGTTTAGCGCGCTACTTTGCGTTATAGAAACTTCTGACTGTATAGCACAGGCTGTACCGTTTGAGGTATTTTGTATTTTTGATGTAACGTCTTCTGTTTTCTAAATTAGAACCGTTTATATTGAGCACAGAGTTAGTGTTTTGATATAATATAATACGAGTATCTCAAAAACGCGTTGTGAGCTATACAGAGGAACGTGGTCTGGTCTAATCGAATAAATTTTGGGTTCGTCAGTCCGTTGTTCCAACCGATTATTGGTTGTTCGGTCGCTACATTATGTGTTAGTTAAAATTATTAAACTATTGCTGCTTCACTGTGTATACTAATCTCTCAAATCTTAACAAATTTAAATCCAACATCATCATTGAACCTACAAGTGGAAATGTGATTCCAATGTTTTAATTCTGCAATTCCCTGTACCATTTTCATGAACAATATATTTGTTACAGTATTCGGACTCCATTATTTCACAATGACCAATATTAGTCTGACTGGTGATAATTTCTAAGAAATAAAAAAACGTATATGCTATTGACTGAGAATTCCAAGCTTAATGGAACATCGACCAAATACGTGAATCAAAACCTTATCTGTACTAAAGAAAATCATCTCCATTTGTAGTGAATAGAACACGGGTGAAGCCAATCGAATGTATTAAACACAAAATTACAGAGCATCCCAATAAAATCTGAGAACCATATATCAAATAGTTAATTTGTAAAATGTCCACCAATTGTTCCAAAATGCCTCAGATTTCATTGTTCTTGCCTTTTCATACAAATTGTATTCTATTCCCGCTCATGCTTTCTTGATCTTCTTTCATCTTCTGCTGCCGGACATTACATTCCTGACTCATATAATATACTACTTATATCAATATAAGTAGCACACACCACACATTGACTTGTAATGATGAATTTTCATCGGTCTCTCTCAATTATGATATTGATGGAACGATCACATGAGAAGATTTAGAAAAGGAATATCCTTTTAAGTCTTAACCTGCTCACTATACATACATTTAATCATTGTTCTGCATGTTTTGTAATGTATTATTCAATAGTTTTCACCTTGATGTGGTTTAATATTTTCATTTTCGTTCACATTGTTTTTTTTTTTGATATTCAGTATTGTACGTTACACAAAGGATTCAATATTTAAAGCTACAAACAAAATACACTTGGCATTGTTTTGCTTACATCTTCCCATTGAGGTTTTAAGACTGCAATTGATCTTTGCTTATAAAAGCTTGTGAATTAAGGCAATATCGAGGCATACGCACAGTATGCGCATATGCCTAATAACAGAATGATCAATTGCAGTCTTAAAACCTCAATAGGAAGATGGAAGCCAAAACAATACCAAGTGAAGTTCAATTCACCCCATTGCACAAACAAGTGGCTATCAGAACTCAGTAGCTGAATGGATAACGCGATGATGTTTGAAGCGAATAGTACTGGGTCCGAATCCCAGAGTGAACATCAACTTTAAGATGCAGGTACACTCAGCTGACGAGTCCCGAATAGGACGAAACATGTGTCCTGGATTCAACTTCCAGTCACTATCCATCTTTGCCTACAAACAAATAGTTTCAAATAAATGTCGCTCATGTATATATGTAATTCAATACTTCATATCATGGTGACCAAAAAAAGAAGCAGACAAATTCAATAGTATTCATACATGTTAATTATATCAACTACGATCAACGTTACAATTGAAGATATCTATGATGTAATGTACATTAGTGGAATTGTCAAGTGTTAATATCATATTTCCTAAAACCCGATAACTGTCAGAAGTTGAAATAAAGTAGTTAGTTCCGTTATTTTCAACATAAAATCGACTTACATTTACATCTATCATATTTTGATGTTGTTGACAAGATCAATAATGAAAAATGTACAAATAAACCATTAGCTTATTGGATAATCATTTTTGAGTTAATATGTTATTCTTTCGATGGTAATAAAATGAAATGTAAATATGCAATGTAATTACTTAAGTAGTATAGGTATTTAACACTAAAGGAAGAAGGTAATTTTATGTTGATAAATTTGCAAACAGAATAAATTGTAGCCAGTTATTAATTTTCCAAATCACAACGCCTTGAAATATGTGTAGTTGTAGTGAACAGAACAGAAGCTATAGGAATCCGAGCCAACAAGTCAAGTCTTTGTGTCCAGAAGAAATTTGTAACTCCCTTATCTCTCCCTTGGCCTTAAGTAATAAATGAATGTATTTATTTACTTATTCCTTTTCTAACTTTCTCTTTGTTTATTATTTTTCTTCACCCCCTCCTACCATTTTATTTTGTTTTCTCTCAAATATACGTTTCACGGTTCA